CGGGTGTACGTGGCCGGTGCCGTAGGTGCAGGGAGCCCAGCCGGGTGCCAAGCGGGTCCTCCCCGGTGCCCGGAGGTGCCGGGCTGGCTGGGGCCAGCACGGGCTGGGGGAGATGACAGACCCCCGTGGGCTGTGCCCGGGGCCTCGGCCCCCGCGCTCTGCCCGGCTGTGCTGCCCGGTGGGCACAGCCCCGGGCAGGGACCGCAGGAGACCCTCTGCAGCTCCTCTCTTCTCCTTCCGAAGGGTCTCCAGGGGGAACGTGGCCCCGCTGGGCTTGCTGGAGCCAAAGGGGAGCCGGTGAGTGGTGTGGGAGGAGGGGACGAGAGGGACACTGGTGCCCCGTGGGCTTTGGGCACCGGGCTGGGGCTGTGCTGCCCGGTGGGCACAGCCCCGGGCAGGGACCGCAGGAGACCCTCTGCAGCTCCTCTCTTCTCCTTCCGAAGGGTCTCCAGGGGGAACGTGGCCCCGCTGGGCTTGCTGGAGCCAAAGGGGAGCCGGTGAGTGGTGTGGGAGGAGGGGACGAGAGGGACACTGGTGCCCCGTGGGCTTTGGGCACCGGGCTGGGGCACTGCAGGTGGCTCAGCATCGTCTTCCTCCTGCACAGGGACCTCCAGGGCAGCCCGGCTACCCCGGCGCGACGGGTCCCCCCGGCCTTCCAGTGAGTACCGCGGGGAGCCAGGCAGCACGTGCCGGCCCCCGGACACCCCCTGTGTCCCCGCATCCCTCCCTGGTGCTCGCTGGGGCCCCCCGTGCTGCCGGGGCAGGCAGTTGGGGGACCCCAGTGGGCACCGTGCACCATGTCCCTGCAGGGCTCATCCCTGTCCCATCCCTCCCATCCCACGTGTTCCCAGTGCCCTATCCGTTACCTGTCTGTTGACTCCATCCATCTGTGCCCCGTGCATGCCCTGTCTGTGTCCCATCTTTCCCCATCCATCCCTGCGCCCCGTCTGTCCCCCCACCTCCCATCCGTGCCCCATGTCCTGACTGTGCCCCACATCCCAGCTCATCCCCTGTCTTGCGCGGGGCCTTCATCTCCTTCCTTCCCCAGGGCATCAAAGGTGAGCGAGGCTACCTGGGCCCCCCTGGGGAGAAGGGGGAACTGGTGAGTCCCTCGGGACCGTGCTCCAGGGGCAGAGGGGTTGGGGGCTCTCCCTGCTGCCCACCTCCTCATGGGCACCGGGGCTGAGGTCCTTCCAAGCCGCATTCATCTGACCCTGTTCCTCCCCTTCCCAGGGACCCCCCGGCTTGGACGGCC